GGAACTGCCCACAGGGTCTCCAAGGCTGTCAGTCTTCAAGGAAGCAAAGGCCAAACCACACCCACTGCCTGGAGTCCATTCTGACCCACAGCGCGCCTATAGGACAGAGTAGAACTGCCCCATAGGGTTTCCAGGGCTATACATGTTTACAGAAGGAGAATGCCTCATCTTTCTCGCACAGGGCTGTTGGATTCGAACCTCCAACCTTTTGGTTAACAGCCAAATACTTTAACTACTATGGCACTATGAAGTCACAGAATTTTTCTTTCCAATTTAGAAATGTCTAACCTTTAGAAATCAACTTCAAGAAACTAGGAAAAGAACAGCAAAGTAAATCCAAAGGGCATGTTAAAAAAGAGCAGAAACTAATGAGCAAACATATAACAGAGGCAGTGAGGGCAGGGCAAGAGAATAGTGAAACTGACAAACCTCTATTTTATTTAATTGTTAGAAGAACAACAAAGGAGAAAAGATGCCCACAACTAACTTGTGCGATTAAAGAACAAATCACTACAGAGCCTGCAAATAACCGAAAAATCAAACCAAACTCACTGCTTGGAGTGGATTCCACTCACAGCAACCCCTCCTTGGGTTTCTGAGGCGGTACCTCTAAGACAGTAGATTGCCCCACCTTCCTTCTGAGGAGTGGCTGGTGCGTTTGAACCTGCAGCCTTCTGGTTAGCAGTCAAATGACTTAGGCACTATGCCTGCATATATAAAAAGAAAATTAAAATCTGTCATGAGCTGTGTGGTAATAAATTGGGAAATGGAGATGAAACAAACTAGTTTCTAAAAATAAAATACAACACAACTAACTGGAAGAAGCAATGGAAAAACGTGGGCAGTCACACAAGCATTAAGAATGTTGAATCAGAAGTAAAGCATCTTTATACAGGAAAAGAAGGTGGGTCCAGCTGGTGTAACACATTGTTTGCCATTCAACAAAGAAGCTCCCAAACCCTATTCCAGGGCCTAGAAAACAGGGAAGAGTCCTCGACTCATGGCACCAAGCTCCTCTGACCGTGATACCAAAACCAGTAGAAAAGGGAAATGACCAGCCCGTCTTAGTTAGGGACATAGACGGTAAACTCCCCAAAAACCGTTAGCAAACTGAATGCATCCATGTCAGGTTGGCTCCGCCCCAGAGATGCTAGGGGGATTGAATTTCAGAAAAGCAATTAATGTAATTCACCCCATTAACAGGTTAAAGGAGGAAAAAAATTAAAAGAAACAGCAAAAATCGTCTAATTAAAAAAAAAAAAAAAATCAATAGCCATGACCTACAAAGTGTAGTCCACGACTCACATGCAACGGCGTTCTTTCATTGGTCAATTTAGCATTTAATTTGTGCTAAAACTCACAAGGTGGGAGGCTGGGCTGTACTCACTCGCATGCGCTCTGGGCCGCGATTCTGTGAGTTCCCTGCAAACCGCGCACTGGCCTGACCCGGGTCAGCGAGACTTCGGACACCCCCACCCCGTCACTCTGGGGTCGGCCTGGGGTGGGGGTCGGCCTGGGGTTGCAGTGCAGGGCCCCCCGCAGGGCCTCCTGGGTCAGAGCGCAGACCCCAAGGGCGGCTATGGGGTGTGGGCCCGGAGTGGGGGCCCGGCTCGACCCAGACCCGGTCCCCAACAGCATCCTCGTGTCAGCCCCCGGGCCGGGCAGGGTCAGTCGCAGGTCACGCCCCCCCGCCGGGGCTGCAGGAGGATGGTGGCGCCACCATCGCCGAGCAGGCTGGGCCTGGTGCGCCCCTTCTGGGCCCTGAGGCCTCAGGAGTCAGGACTGCGGCTCTGGGGGCGCTGGAGGTGCGCGCGGGGGCGGGCCCGGGCCTCCCCGCGAGAACCCAGCAGGGCAGAGGGCGCTGCAAACCGTGGTGGGCGGTGCCCCCCGCCCCCACAGGCCGGGTCTCGGGCGGGAGTCCGCGTTGCCATTGGAGCAGCGAGCAGACACTTTGTAGCAATAGCCCGAGCCAGGCGCCGCCTCGGTGCCTGCCCGTGGGGTCGGGCGAACACGTGCACGGAGGGGCGGCGTCAGGGCTGGTGACGGGGCCGCGCGACCCCCAGCGCCTAGCACCCGCCATGAGCAGCCACGGGGCTTCTCGACCTCCGGGACAGCCCGCCTCAGAAGGTAAGTGGGTGCCAGGCACTGGGGGGTAGGACCCCCAGGGGACCCCAGCCGGTTTGCAAGACCACCTGCTCCCCTTGGGGGCCTCTTCTCTCTTCCCCTCAAATGCACAAACCAGGGAAGACCTGGGCCAGTCAAAGCCAGGGAACCCCAAAGGGGTCCGAGGGGCGGGAAGCACGTGCAGCCTGGGCCTGGCCCTCAGCCCCTCCCCCCACCAGCATGATTGACAGGCGGGGTGGCGCCGGCCAAGCTTCCGGGCGCGGGAGACGACCCACCTTGTGGAAAGCCCCTTTTCAGTGGCACCTACCCCAACAAGGCCCAGTGGGTAAGGGGGAGTCCTGCGGCCCCCAGCGGTCCTGAGGCCCCCACTCTCCTCGGGCTCACCTGGGAGAGCGTCCTCGTGGGCTCCCTGGGCAGGGCCCCACACCTTGGAGCTGGTCTCTCATGCAGGGCCCCCCGTCACCCGTCATGTGGGCATGGCGGGAGGACGTAGCTTGGTCTCCCTCAGGGGCTGTGTCCCCGGCCACTGTTAAGAGAGTGGACGTCCGAGGCCCGCTTCTCTGCAGCTTCACATAGAAACAAGAGTGTGTGTGGCCAAACGCCATGCCGCGTGGCCTGGACATCCCTGCAGACTCTATGGCCCTTGTGCCCAGGGGGCCGGGCCGGCAGCTGCTGCAGGAAGTGCCTGGGATGTTAGCCACGGACGGCACTGCTGGCTTCGACAGCCAGTCTGCCTTCAAGTGGGGACATAGAGCCTAGTGGCGCAGTGTTTATCCATTCAGCTGTCTGTCAAAAGGTCAGTGGTTGGAACCTACCAGTCCCTCACTGGAAGAAAGAGAAGTTGCCAGCCATGGAAACCCTACGGGGCAGGTGTACTCTGTCCCCGAGGGTCGCAATGAGTCAGCATCCACTGGAAAGGCAGGGTGTGGGTTGGGTGCATATAATAAGATTTGCAAAAGGGTCAGATGGTTCAGGAAGTCTGTGAGTCCAACTGGCGCGGGCTTAGTGGGGTGGGCAGAGCAGAGGGACAACGAGATAGAGAATGTAGGGGCAGAGTGGGATTTCGGGGTGCAAGGGTGTCGGTGCTTGGGCCCTCGGGGGTCACCTGCCAGGACCTTTGGAAGTTCCCCCAAGGCTCTCAGCCTGATGTCCCTTGTAAAGTGGGGCCTTCTTAACGACCCAAAGCTTACCAGGACAGACTGTGTCCACCCAAGGTTGCTACCCAAGGTTGGTTTTTTTGTATAAAAGCATGGGATCAAGGCAGATTTCAAAGCTTTGTGGCTTTCACATCTTTCCAATGAGAATAGTTTTCTTTGAAATCAAGGGTTCCCCCCAGACCGTCCTACTGCTTTAGTTGCTCAGGCCTCGGGGCTGGTTGCCTGGTGTCGCCCGGGCCTCTGCCTGGCTGTGGAAGGTGCTGGTGTTCCTCTTGCAAAGGCTGCGAGGCCCTGCGGAAGCCGCCAGGGGCAAACAAATGCAGGCCTAGTAGGGGTGTGGGGCAGCCAGGAGCATGGTGCTGGGGATGGCAGGGCCGGCGGACAGGGCTCCGAAGTTTCCCGAGCCGCCACGGAACAGACGACCCGGACACGGGCAGGGCACCCTGGCGGGGCGGGCTCTGAGCGCACCGCCCGGCGCCCACGGGGCTCCGGCAGGTTTTCCTGGGCGTGGAGAGGGCGGCCCCGCAGCCCTGGCTCCCCTGGGCGGGTCCTCGTGTTGCCCCAGGAGCCCGGACGTGAGGCGGCAGGCCCTCGAGCCGTGGTCAGCGCCGGCCCCGCCCTCCTCTGTTGCAGCGCGGGCCCCGGGCCGAGGCGGGGTGCCGCGCTTCCTGGAGCTGCTGGAGGAGAACGGGGGCGTCTTCCCACCCCCCGCCGAGCTGCTGGCCCTGGCGGGAAGGCTGTGCCGGGAGCTCCGCGATGACGTCGCCCGCGTGGAGCCCCTGGTGGAGGCCGTGCTGGCGAGCCCGCTGCGCCTCTACCTGCTGGACAGCGAGGCCGTGGTCCTGGTGTGCGCGCTCGTCCTGGCCGGCCGGGAGCAGTACCAGGCGGCCTGCCGGCTGCTGGAGGTAGGACGGGTCTGCGGGGCGGGGGCACGGAACGGAGGCGCCCACGAGTCGGTGCAGTCCGCGGCCCGGGGGCCATTCACTCGCTTCCAGCCAGCCTGGTGACCGCGTGTCAGAGTATTCAGTTATCAAATAGGACGCTAGCAGCAGCCCTGTGCCGAGCCCTAGGAAAATTAGTGACAGGAGCGAGACTCTAACGTGGTCACATCTGGAGAGCTGGCCTTCTCGGCTGGGACACGAACAGGGAACCCGGGCCGGGACCTCAATCCCTCAGCAAAACTCCGAAAAGCAAGTGTCTTTGAAGCTCACTGGTGGTCCAAGGAGCCTGGACTCGTTTGACAGCAAACCCTGACCTGTGTTGACGTGAAGCTGTCTGTGGTCTTCACGTGTCCACTGTCACATACGTTCTGCTTCCTAAACAATGTCTGTCTGGTCACAGGCTGTAGCCCCAGATCACGCTGGGCCAGGGCCCCTCTCTCCTCCCCAAATCTGAAAAATTGTGAATCCCGAACTGCATCGGGCTCAGTGGGTTCTGAGTAAAGTGTTGGGGGCCTGTTGTTCCCCTCACTTAGCGGTGCAACTCATGGTAATCTCAAAACACTCCTGCAGGCGACCTGTTTGTTCTGGTCAGTGTCCTCCTGGCCACTCCCCCACACCCCGTTCGGCCCTCTCCCGCGCCTGCGGGTCTGTTCTGAGCACAGGGACTGCGACCCGCTTGCACCGCACACCTCTGGCCCCCCGGGGCTGCCCTGCCTGCCGTTCCGTCTGCGGTGGCTGAGCTGGCGTCCCTTCTGTCCTCCATGTAGACAGTTCCGACCTCGGGACCTTTGCACATGCTCTTTCCTCTGCTGGGCTCTGGGCTCCCCAGGCACTCTGGCTCTGCCCGGCGCCCTGATGTCCTCGACATCACAGTGCCTAGAGCCCGCATCCCTTGTCCCCCTGCAGCTGCCACCAGGGGCGGAGGTCCCTAGGGGGTGACACAAGCCCTGGGGTTGAACTTTTCTGATCGGTCTGTAAGCGTGAGTGGCGTGACCGACACAGGAGCACGTCCTTAGAGCTCTGATCCTGCTGTGACCCAGTCAGTGGGTTGGCGATGGAGAGCTGCAGGAGAGAGACCATTCACCCAGCCAGGCTGGGTGACCCCGGGGAGGAGACATGGCAGCCGGCCCCGCCAAGCCCAGTGCTGAGTGGGACGGGCTAAGGCATCCGTGATGGATGGTTCCCTGACGCCTTGACCCAAGGCCGACAGGCTCATCCTGGTGGCAGATGGCAGCTCTGGGCGGTGCCTGGAGCGTCTGTGGCCGTTCTCTGACACTCCCCCCCAAGGCCGACGACCACGTGCTGGCAGGAGATGGCAGCAGAACGTCCTGCAGACAGCCAGCCCCGGGGGGGGGGGGGCTGGGGTGCCTGATGGGCCCGATTCTTTGGCACGAGGCCAACAAGCATGTCTGGTGGGAGGTGATGTAACACGCTGGCTCCGGGTGGGGCCTACAGTGTGCAGCACCAGCCAGGATTCCGGGCCTTTCCTGGAGGTGATGTAACACGCTGGCTCCGGGTGGGGCCTACAGTGTGCAGCACCAGCCAGGATTCCGGGCCTTTCCTGTGTGGGGATAGGAGGTCACAACGCTCTCAGCACGCCAAGCACGTTCTTCTACATCACGGCGCCAGGGGGCAGTGTGGGCTCTGAGGCGGCCCGGGCAGGTGCTTGCAGTGACGTGAATGGCTGCGGCTTTGTGAGCTGGAAGGTCCACTTGGTGCCGCAAATTGTCCTGGTGTCCGTGCGTCGGTGCGTGACCGCCTGCACACCTGAGGCCCCTCGTCTCGTCCAGCGCAGGACACGCAGGCCACCAGCAGCCAGCCTTCCTGCAAGGTGGCCGAGAGCTGTGCCGGCCTCCTGTGCGTGCCCGGAGGGCCGGCACCCTGAGCGGGTCACTCTCACCATGGCCTGGCAGGCATTTCCCCCCGGGCCATTTCCCTCCAGGGTCCCGTGGGAGTGGGGTTGGGCCCTGGGCTGCGCGGGGGGGGG